CCCACCAGCCGCTCCGCGGGTGAAAGAGGATTTACAGCCTCGAAACCCTACATAAGGTCGGAATCTTAAAGATTTACAGCATCGAAAATCCTATATAGGGTTACTATAGAGTCGGAACCAACTCGATGGCACTTAACAACAACAGTCTCCCAAATTCAAGCCCCCATTTGCGTTTCCAAACGCCAGGGGTTGCGCCGCCCCTTCCAGACTTCAAATTGTCGGCTCTAACTCCCTTCCTAATCGAGAGTCTCCTTGCAGCCCAGATCTGGGCTATCAGAGCCTCAATGCGGCGCCCCCTAACTCAATTACCTCTCCCTGTCATTGGCCCCTGTACGCCGCCGGGCCCTGCCGCAAACCCTAGCCCCCGGGCCCGGAGGCTCTCGGACCGTCAACGCGACCCTGCGCTCACCTCTTCCTCTGCGCTGGCTGTCCGCCCGCACCACCCTGCGCAGCACCTGCAGCCACCGTTCCTAGGGCCGCGCCCTGAGAGAGTTTCTGATTCCGCGTGGGCGCCGGGCCAGCTGCACCAGCCAACTCCCACTTGGGGCCCTGCGGTGGTGGCGGGGCGACCCTTCTCCTAGCCTGTCTTCCGCTGCAGGTTATCCCGCTGGTCGTGACTGCAGGCACCCTTCTCTTTTCAAACCCTCTCTGGCACCACGGCCCGCCAGGGATTCCCTGCTCTGGTTACCGCAGTTCGCACGTCCCGGGATGAGGCTGCATCCCAGGTGAGGGAGCTCTCCAACTGCGCTTCCCGAAGTGTGCGCGGGCGAAGGGCCCGGATTCTTCCCGCCAGTCGGGAGTGCAGAGTCCTCGTTGTCCCCGCCCCGCCCCGCCTCCTCGACCGAACCCGGCCCCAGTCTAGTGTCGTCCAGGCGTCCGCTAGGGCTGACTATCTGCAGTTCCCTGAACCCTCGGCGGACCGCTTCTAGTTTCTTCCAGTTGGGTTCTGAATTCGAATTAGTGTGAAGCTGGGAGTTGGACTGTAAATTGCAGCGGGGCTCAACCTCTTTGCTCAAAAATGATTGGTGTGGTTGACAGTCGAAGTCCCTTGGAGGTGCAAGTGGTTAAGAGCCCAGGGTAACGGTTTGAACCTAACCAGAGGCAGCTGGAAAGACAAGACAGGTTCTAGTCTTGAAAACCGTGTGGAGGAGCTCTGCTCTGCACACCCGGGGTCGTCATGAGCTGGAATAGATTAGATTGGATAGCAAACAACAACATGGTGGCAGTCAGTTTTTAATATTTCAGAAACCAAGTTAATGCCATTTAGTATAATACAGGAGGAGTCCTGGTGTGGCGCTGCGGGCTAATGCGCTGGACTGCAAAGTCGATTTGAACCACAAGGTCAGTGGTTCAAGCTCACCAGCCACTCCTTGGAAACCCTGTACAAGGTCACTATGGGTAGGAACCGACTGGAAGGCACTTAACAACATCAACATGAGTCCTGAGTACTCAGCACTTTACAACAACAATAACAAGAAGTAAATACAGGGGCTCCTGTGTGTAGCTGTAGGATCAGCACTAGACTTCCAACCACAAGGCCAGCAATTCAAACCCACCAGCTGCTCCTCAGAGTCGGAACCAACTTGACGGCACCTAACAACGACAACAAAAGTATACTGACTGGGTGTCTTGGAAGAAAGACCTGGTGATTGGCTTCAGAAAATTTAGTCATTGAAAACTGTAGTAAAGGGCACAGGTCTGCTCTGAAACAGATGGGGTTACCCTGAGTGCTAACAGACCCAGGGCAAGTGTGCTAATTTACCAATCGCTCCTCGGAAACCCTATTCAGGAACCGTTTAGAAGGCACTTAACAACAACATACTGGTGAAGTGCTGGTGTGGCATAGTAGAATAAGCTCTGGACGGCAACGTTAGTTTGAACCGCAAGGTTGGCAGTTCAAGCCCACCATCCCCTGCTTGGAAACCCTATATGGGGGTCACTATAAGTCACAACCAACTCAATGGCTTTTAACAACAGCAACTGTGTGCTGGTGAGATGTTACGATGTCTGTGGTTTTCTTTAAAATACTCAATATTTTCTTTAAAATACTCAATACTCATCAGAGAGGGCGAGAGAGAAACAAGATAGACAGATAAGATAAAATAAGATAGGCAAGATGTTGGTAATTGTTGAAGCTGAGGAGGAGATGGTGTTGGTAAGTGCAGACAAGTTGGTTCCAAACTCATAGTTACCATTATAGTAACCCTGTATAGAGCAGAGATGTCAGCTTGAGGACTAGGGTGTGCCTGACCCAGGCCATTGTGTTTTCAATAGCCTCATATGGATGCGAATGCTGGACAGTGAATAAGGAGGATCGTAGAAGAATTGATGCCTTTGAGTTGTGGTGTTGGAGGAGAATACTGAAAGTGCCATGGACTGCCAAAAGAACCAATAGATCTGTTTTGGAAGAAGTGCAGCCAGAGTGCTCCTTGGAGGCCAGGATGGCTAAGCTTCGTCTCTCCTACTTTGGACATATTGTCTGGAGGAAACAGTCATTGGAGAAGGATGTCATGCTGGGTAGGGTGGAGGGTCAGAGAAAAAGAGGAAGACCCCCAACGAGATGGATCAGCCAGGTGGCATCATTGATGGACTCAAGTGTGGCAGCGGTAGTGAGGTTGGCCCAGGATCGGACATGGTTCTGCTGTGCATGGGGTTGCTATGAATCAGTTTCGACTCGATGGCACCTGACAACAACAACACACAGGGTTTCTGAGGTTTTAAATCTCTGCAGGAGCAGAAAGCCTCATCTTTCTCCAGAGAGGCGACTGGTGGGTTCTAACTGCTATCCTTGTAATTCGTAGGCCAATGTTTACCCTACACAGCCACTGTGCTCCTGGGGACTAGATGTTGTTGTTGTTATGTGCCGTCGAGTCGGCTCCGACCCATAGCGACCCTGTACAGGGTTTCCGAGGGTGTAAATCTTTACGGGAGTAGAAAGCCTCATCTTTCTCCTGCGGAGCAGCTGGTAGTTTCGAACCGCTGACCTTAAGGTTCGCAGCCCAATTCGTAACCACTACGCTACCAGAGCTCCTTACCGGGGGTTAATTATACAGGTCTCCTTACTTTTGTGTATATTTGAAAATGCCCATAAGAGGCGGGTGAAGCTCATGCATTGCACTTAAGGTTTCACCTGCTCGTTGCATACCCTTGACAACAGACCCATCTCCACTTAACACAACTCTTGGAGGGCTATAGGCAAGTGGCAAGCTCCAGGGCAAGTGGAATTTTCCAGAACAAACTTTGCCGCAGATCCTATCCTTCTCCTTCTGGCTCAGGAATACTACCACACCCCCACCCCTGCCACAACCCCAATGTCCTTTTTTCCTGTTATGTGTTGGTGGAGTTAAAATATTCTTTTGGGGGATAGCAGAGACTTGAGTGGTTAGGCTGATCTCCGGATCCTGGAGTCTCTCCTTCCAGGGTCAAACTCTGAAGGCTGTGGTTTTGTTTACTAAAGAGCAATGCCTTTCTGCCCTGGTCTTCTCTCTTTTAGGCCTGACATTTCCGTCTTAGCCCTGACAGGTGTTTTAATGACAAACAGGACTGACTTGTCTCTGAGAGGCCCTGGTCACCTAGAAGGTAATAGGAATCAATTTATTTGATGAATATGCTGCCACCTTGAGCCCGGAAGGGAGAGATATGTACTGTATGTATAAGCCAGGGAGTCCTGGTGTAGGGAAACAGTGGACTGCTAACAACAAAGTTGGCAGTTCAGACTCACCAGATGCTCCTTGAAAACCCTATACAGGGTCACTATGAGTTGGAATTGACTTGACAGCATTTAACAACAACAGTCTGTCCTTTCCACGGGTCCAGGGACTACTGGCCTGTCTCCAACCTTTGCTCCTACATCAGAATTGCATTTCCACCATAAGCGTTCCTCCCTATACAGCAAGTTTCCCAGGTT